CTAGACCTCAACCAAAAGTGAGGTCAACAACACACTTCCTCTGATTTTTATGGGGTGTGATTTCCCTAAAATCGAAAACTCTGAGCATGAAGAATATCCTCTAAAAGCGCAACAATAGTGCAGAACATCTCGCCCATAAAAAGCAATAGGAATGTCAAAAAAACTCTTCTAAAAAGCATAGCTCCAGTGCAAATGGGGTACTAGACCATGCCAAGGAAACTCAAGGAAGGATTGTGTACTACTGTGCAGAGGTGACACAATAACATGCTAAGGGAACTCCTAGGATTGTGCTACTCCGACACGGAGGGAGCACAACAACAGCCAAGACACTACAGAGAGGAAGTGTGCTTTATTTCTTATCTTTTCAGCCTATTTCTAAGCTCGGAAGAGACAAAAATCATAAAAATTAGTGCACATCTTTAGTGCAAATCTAATTTTAGCTCGATTTTACCGTGCACCTCCCAATCGATCCCATCTAACAACCAATGTTTGGTCATAATTGAATTTTTGAGTTTAGATCGTCAACATGGTGACCCCACAATTCACCAAATTGTCCCCATAAATCATTCATCCATAGTTTTGTGTCACATGTCTGGATTAATAATGTAGCCACCTGCCTTCAGCTTGATCGGCCCTGTGCATTATGGCATCTGCAGTCTAGTCCCATGCACCTATATTACTGATGTGCATGCAATACCATCTTCCGGATCACTTCCACTATAAGATCCAAGTGATCCACTCAACTACAGACTAATCAACTCACTCCACTATCGACAAGCGGCTCGCTCAGCCACTTATAAGCTAACCGTTGACTAATGATCCAACGACCCATGCTAGCCATCATCCACCGCCACCTTTGGTTGCTTTGACGGCACCACCCAACAACTGTAGCCATCATTTGCCTCGTACCAACCGTCATCATCTCCTGTTTGACACTGCCACCGTCAAGAAAAGGGAGAAAAGTAAAATTAAAAAAACAAAATTCTTGGAATTTTCAAATGATGAAATAAACATCACTCAAAAATATGGGACAAATGATACACTATCAAAAAATTTTATCATTATACACATATCTTGAGCAATTTTTATGCAATGAATGTTCCAATTCAAATTAAAAATCATCCATAACTTTGCTTTCAAAAAACTTATAGTCAAATTGAGCATCTCTGGGAGACTAATCCAACAAACCCAAGATGGCCCTATTATAACATTATTAAAACTCTTAAAATGTCCATAAATTTTTTTTCTAATCAAAGGAATCTCTCTAAGATATTCGATGGAGTGGCCCAACTTCCTACCTTATTTGTAAGAGTTGACACTCTCATTATCTATAAATGGAGTCTTAATACCTTCATGAAACGAGGGGAGTTGGACCTATAGGAGGAGGAAGAGAAGGAGTCAAATTTGAGTAACATTCTGGATTTAAATATCAGGCGATAAATTCAAGCTCCCACAACCGCTAGTCGTCATGGTCGCCTCTTGCTTTTTACTGTCAATGAATCTTATGGTGCCATGATGCACCCTGCAATACGGTGCAACGATATACCTCTAGATACACTTTAATGACACACCATGAATATGGTGGAATGACATACCTTAAATATGGTATAATGACACATATCAAACATTGTGTAACGACATACCCTACATCTGACGTAACGACACTCTCCAAATGTAGTATAATGATGCACCCTCAATATGATGTAATGATGCACCCTAAATATAGTGTAACAACACACTGTGAATCTAGTAGAATAACATACCTCCAATATGTGTCGTGTACCTTGGCCCGTTGGTTGGCATCCTTGGTGTAAGACCACTCAAGTCGGGGTTCAAATCCCCCTCTGACAAAGTGAGTCTTAAGGGGCGTGGTACTCAAATTGTTAGACACATTAGGAGTGGTTGAAGGCTAGTATAATTTCCTCTGACCATTTTTTTTGAATAAAAAAAACATACCTCCAATATTGGATAATGAATAATGTTGTTTTGAAGATATGACAATAAATCCCAACGAAAATGGCTTATAGCCATAGTATTCAGGATATTGTGACTTTATTCAACTTTCTAAAGTTATCTCCTTGCAACTTTCAATTGCATTCATGGTGGCTAACGGACGCTCTTGCAACTTCCCATTGCAGCTTATGAAACGAATTATATCCTACATGGCTCACTAATACTGCAACTTCTAGCTTGACCTTGGCGGCCTACTTCTGCTCTTGGGACCTTCAATATGGCCTATGTAACTAATTATGATTTATGTTGCTCACAGCTCATACAACTCCCAACCTCTATGGCCAACAGATGTTACTGTAGCTCACTACAAGAGTCGACATTGCTTATAATTCCTGCAACTCACAACTCTAGTCTCTGTGGCCTACGAACATTATTGTAGCTCACCACTATAGCCTATATGAAGAACTATGAACTACGTGGCTCACTACTACTATGACTTCTAGTTTCAACCTTGGTGGTGGATTGATGCTCTTGCAACCCCCCCTCATGGTATATGTGACCAATTATGACCTGCATGACTCACAACTCATGCAACTCCGAACTCTGGCCTCTATGGCCTTCAAATTTTATTGTAGCTTACAACCTAATTGATTAACTAAGACCTACGTGGCTTACAGATCATGCAGCTCTCAACTCTGACTTTTATAACTTATGGATGTTATTGCAGCCCTCTACTACAACCTACATGGCTAACATCTGTCATTACAACTCTTCGTGTCCTTGGACTACAACTTACATGACCAATTGATGTCATTACAACCCTCCATTACGACCTTTGTGGCCAACAAACTGCCGAAGCTACCAACGATGACTTATATCCCAACTACTGCAACGACATTCAATTACAGCCACTACGACAAATCAAAGTTTTTATAGCCACCATCTGAAATAATTATGGTGAATTACTGTCTTTATAGCTACCAGCAACAATCAATGCATTCCACTATCGCTATTATTGTCAAAAACTGTGTTAATTATGACTCAATTATGACTATTAAAGCAGGATAATTATTGTGTAATTTTAATTAACTTTGTAATTCTATCTTTCTTAATTCAGGAGAATACTTGGCAGAACTAACGTACTCCATTAACTTTGTAATTTTATCTTTCTTAATTCAGGAGAATACTTGACAGAACTAACGTACTCATAATTACAAAGTAGATTACTTCGACTAAGCTAGACCCCATGATCTTTTCACTCTCTAGAGTTTTCCACATAAAAGTTGTGGTGCCCTCTCTAACTACTATATTATCTATGTGTGTTTTAGATCATCGTATAACATAGTGACATTAATTTATCACATGTACCAAGTGTCTTAAAACTAAAAAGTTAAAAATAATCATATTTTCATGCTATGTTAAAGTTTTGAGAGCTTAGTGTCAAACATATAAATACCTAAAAAGAGTGTGGTCAAACTATAAAAATTCCTACATAAAATGATTAAATTCGTCAGGTGTGGTAAAGCAATAAAGTATAGTGGTGATTTTGGGGGAAGAGAAAGGCTAGATGAGATAGGCATGACATATTAAGGGATCTGTGGATGAAGCTTTTCAGTCTCTTGCCGCCTTACAGGGAACAAACTGAACAACTCTCTCTTCTTTTCTTTCTTAATTCTTTTCACTCCCTCCCGTCTCTCCATAAAGTGTCAATTCAAAGATTACCAGCACAGTTTTCCTCGTCAGACATTTACAAAATAAATAATAATAATAATAATAATAATATTTATTTAATATTTCACTTTCAAAATATTATGATTGCGGTATTTTTTTGTAATAAGCATATAAAAAATAAATTTAAAAAATTTTGTAAAGTAAACACAAATTCTTTTTTTTTTTTTTTTTGCAAGAAAGCCGACAATAAAACAAAAGCAAAGTAAACACAAATTCATATATTTTTTTTTGCAAGAAAGCCGACAATAAAACAAAAGGTTTTAAGATGCTAACTGTCCATTTTTAGGAAAATATTTGCGTGTGACTTACGCAGTGCTGAGTACATTCAGGGGTTATTCAGGGGGTACAGAAGGGTTTATCGGGATTATACCCCTCTGTAACCCCTCTGTAACCTCTCTGTAAACTATCTGTAACATACAAATGAGTTCCGCGCTTCTGCAGTTTCATGGGTATAAATAAGTTACAAGGGAGTTACACGGAGGTTACAAGGGGGTATAACCCGGATATGACCCCCCTGTATCCCCTGAATAACATCTAACGTACGCAACGCTGCGTACATCTTATGTACGCAAATATTTTCCCCATTTTTAAGTTATTATGATAAGCAATAGACAATTTCATATCATCTAAAATTTTGAAGCAATTTCTGTATCACATCCTAATAAAAATTGAATCAAAATATTCTAAACCAATTTTTTTTAATAATAATTTACCTTTTCTCCATTTTATCATCAAACCATTTTGATTGTATCAGTCCGATCGTACAAATTACCTTACAATAATTGTGAAAAAATATTGTCCGAACGACCAACCACCAACCATCACGTTACCCGCTGATGAAGTGTATTATGACAAGACTTCTGATGGTTAGCCATCCAGACGTGCCAGACATTTTTTTTCTTTAGACCGGGCATCATAAAATTTTTTTTATGTTTTATATTTATAAAATGTGATAAACCTATATATGAAAAGATGTATTTTAATTTTTAAAAGTAGGTGATAACACTATTTTTATAGTGATATTAAAGATTTGAGTGACAAGCATGTAAATATGATAGTTTGGGTGTTAATATGTAAATACATAAGAATTGTGTGGTATGCATGTAAATGCCTCTAATTTTTTTAAATATTTCCAAATATGACTTCAAAACTTTAATATTTATTTAAATACAAGTCGACCATCAAATTAAAAATACCAATAATACTAACTTCTGAAAAGTAAAATACATCATTTCATGCATATGTTTTGATATAAAATGACATTTAAGTGATATGTATAAGTATCAAACTTAGACATTAGATGTGTAAATACATAAAAATTATGCAAAATGTATGCAAATTCCCACAGACCATAATCATATCAACAAATGTAGACAAATATTAAAATTTTGACAAAACTGAACCAAAACAGCAAAAGAAAGCCGGGTCATCAGGTCAAACCGAATTAACCACTTCTCATACATATCATCGAGTCGAACCAAACCGGTAACAAACAAATAGGGTTCCAACAACACGAAAAATTCGACACGAATTAAGATTTGTGTTCACCTTTCCTCGGACTTGAGAGGAACACCTTTATACAACTCAACACGCTGTCTGAGAGCATCGCGGCGAGGCCTCGCAATCTTATTATTTGGATCAAAAAGAAGAACCTCCTCAAAAGCTTTGAGAGCCATTTTGAGATTCTTCTTCTTCTCATAGGCGTCGCCCATATTGTTCCAGGCAGTGACATAGCCGGGCTGAAGCTTCACTGCTGCTTCAAACTGGGCGATGCCTTTGTCCAGTTTATTGTCACGCACGTAGCTCACTCCCAAGGCATTGTAAACCTGCTTGGAATGGAAGAGGTGAATCAATAATTATCATAAATGATAGATATGTGAGATTTTATCAGCTGTAAAAATGATTTTTTGCAGATTGACATGCATACCACTTAATTCAAACTTTAATTTTCATATATGCCACCTTCTCTATGCATGAAAAGTTGTATTTCATTTTTTTATATTTAAAATGATGGTATTTTTGATGTGATATGAAATAATTGGTTGGTATGAAAGTAAAAAATGTAAAACTTAGGTGTTAGGTAATGTAAATTAAGGGGAGTTGAGTGGTATGTATGTAAATGCCCATGCTTTTTGTAAAACTTTAGTGATATGAAACAGTAAGGTTCAAGGAGGATTTAGCAAATCTATGGAAAACTATTTGGTATGATTGGAGTCTTTGGTTAAATTTGGCAGATATATTTAGGAAGATTTACATACATACCTCTCAATTCCTATGTATTAACATATATAACAGCTAAACTTTAATTTTTACATGTATAAGTGTATAACACCTTGTTGGGCATGAAAAAATGTATTTCCTTTTTTAAAGTTAAAATAATTGTACTTTTAATGTGATATGAAAGATTAGATATAAAAAGCAAAGTGTAGTTTTTAGAAATGTAAGTACATAAGAATTGGGTGGTGTGTATGTAAATGCCCCATCTTTTATGATTTAAAATTTAAATGAAAGAAAACAAAAGATACAGTAAGGATAAGTGGTGTAAATCTCTTGAATCCTATTTCTAAAAAGATTTATTAAATCAAGAATTTAGCCTAAATTGGGAGAAAATTTGAATTTAAAAAGGTGGTGGGGTAAGGAACTGGCTCAGCATATCATGACAAAAGTATGGTTATGATTGATCTCAAAGAAATTGGACTCATATCAAAACAAATTTAAAGGCTAAGTACTGATGCGCCATAAACAAATTCTCATCATGGAGCATGAATCTCAAGGCAAGACGGGGAACAAGAGGCAATTTTTTTAGCAATAAATGTTCAAACTTCGACTAAAAGTAATTCAGAATTTCGATTTCAGCAAACTTAAAGTCAAACTCACCGCCTTGGCAAGACGGATTCAATGATACCAAAATCGGTCCAATCTGAGCCAAATCAAACCTCGATCAAGCCATTAAACTATTTTAACATATATATATATATATATATATTCTAAAAAGTTTGCCCCAAATACCGCTTCCACTTTGCGCTCAGGCACTTATGATAGGGTGACTGCGTCATGTGCCTAATATTCCAGCGCTCCCGTGCCACGGTGAGATCGAACTCTTGACCTGAGGGGACTTACAGTGACCACGCCACCAACAGGCCAAGACTTGCGACACCATTTATATATATAACAATGTGTGTGTGTTTGTATAAGTGTTACATGGTATGTAAATAACTATTCAAACTTTTTTCAGTTTTCAAGGGTTCTCTCCGAGTTGTTCGATCAAGAGTAGTCAAGTATCCTTAGTTACAACCCGGATTATATAAATAGAGCCCTACTCCCCACTTGAGAGGGAGACTAGAACATCAACAAGAGGGAGGCCACAAATTGGAGAAGAGAGCTGAAGTCCAGGATCTTGCATCGACGATCCGGCGTACACCTCCCGCTTCTGCAATCGCCAAACGCCGCCGACAAGGCGACCACTTTCGGCCTCCTGCTACTGTAATCGCCAACCGTCACTGAACACCATCAACCTCATGCATCTGCAATCCCCGACCACCATCGACCAGCACTCACCAGCTGCTGCCAACCACCGTCGAACTCTCGCTCCTACAGCCACCGACCAACTCCAGCTGTCACCGCCTCCGACTAACTCCATCCAACACTGCTTGTCAGCTATGGCCACTGCCTCTGCCACCTCTAACCAATTCCAGCCAACGCCTTCGGCCTACTGCTTCGTTCGCTTCGACCTACGCAAAATGGAGTTGTTGAACGAAAAAATCGACATCTATTGGCTATGACATCTATTGGCTATTGTGCACACATTACTGATAGAATCTTCTGTTCCAGCTAAATTTTGGATTGAAAATTTATCTACTGCAGTTTATCTCATTAATCGTTTACCATCTCAACAATTGAAATATGAGTCTCCCTACTATCGAATTTTTTATAAACATCCTAATTATCATATGCTATATATTTTCGAACGTGTTAGCTTTGTTCATCTACTTGCTCATGAACATCATAAATTGACAGCTGAGTTAGTACGATGTGTCTTTATGGGGTACAGTCTTAATCATAAAGGTTTTATGTGTTATGATTCGATTAATAGATGACATTTCTCGAAATGTGATTTTTTTTTAACATGAATATTACTTTCAGCATCATGTGTTGACATCAAATACAGTTATATTTCCATAATTTGATAATTCTTATGTTGATAAACGGTTCAAGCCAGACATTGTCTACACATGGCGTCTGCCCCCTTCACCTTCAATCTTCCCCGACCTTGATCCAAAAATTGCTCCAATAAGCATTCAACAATCAACTCGGCATATCCTTCCTCCAGATAGATATGGGTATTCTGCAATTTTAACTAATACTATTGTTCCTACCTTTTACTTTCATGTTGCTAAACAGACTTGCTGGGTCAAAGCCATGCAAGAGAAACTTCAGGCACTAAACTTCAGGCACTTCAATAAATGGGTTTATTCTCTTAAACTCCGATCTGATGGCTCTCTTGACAGTTTAAACTCTGATCTGATGGCTCTTGGCAATCGACAGGAATACGAGATTGATTATGAAGAAACATTTGCACTTGTGGCTAAGATGACAACTGTCCGGCTGGTGTTATCTATTGTTGCATCTAAAGACTGGTTCTTAAAGCAAATGGATGTTAAGAATGCACTCTTACATGGGAATCTCAAAGAAGATGTCTATATGACTCCTCCTCCAGGCTTCTTTTCTACACCTTCACATGATGTTTGTAAGCTCAAACGGTCTCTGTACGGTTTGAAACAGACTCCACGGGAATTTTATTCAAAGTCAGTATGATTCATCATTATTTCTTTGCAAAACTGACAAGGGAATTGTTTTGTTATTTGTTTATGTTGATGATATTGTCATCACAGGATCTGACAATCAATTGATGTCTCGACTACAAAAACATCTTCAGGGTTCTTTTCATATGAAAGATTTAGGGTCATTAACTTATTTCTTAGGACTCGAGGTTCACTATTCTCCCGCTGGTATTTTTCTTCATCAGCACAACTATACAAACGGACTCATTACTTTAGCTGGTCTTCAAGATGGTCGTTCTGCTGATATTCCTTTGTAAGTAAATGTCAAATATCAACAAAATGATGGTGACTTTTTATTTAAACCATCTCTATATCGACAACTGGTTGGGAGTCTCAATTACCTAACTATTACGCGTGTTGATGTTTCATTTGTTGTGCAACAAGTTAGTCAATTTATGCAAGCACCTACACATCTTCATTTAGCTGCAGTTCGACATATTGTTCGATATTTAAAATATATTTTTCATCATGTTTTGTTCTTTTATATGAAGTCTCCTAGCACCTTAACAGCCTATAGTGATGCTGATTGGGCTGGTTGCTCTGATACACGTCGATCTACTACTGGATGGTGCACGTTTCTCGTCAACTCTTTAATCTCTTAGAAGAGTAAGAAACAAGATCGAGTGTCTAAATCATCTACTGAATCAGAATATCGTGCTATGTCCTCTGCTTGTTCCGGGATCATTTGGCCTCGGGGTGTGTTGGCTGAACTTGGTTTTCCTCAGCTTGAGTCTACTTCTCTTCATGGAGATAATACTAGTGTTATCCAAATTGTTGCTAATACAGTCTTTCATGAGCACACGAAACACATTGAAGTGGACTGTCATTCCATTCGTGAAGCCTGTGAGAATGGTGTTATATCTCTTCCTCATATCACTTCTGGTCTTCAAACGACTGATATATTTATTAAGACTCTTTCTCGACAGCGTCATCAGTTACTTGTCAGCAAATTGATGTTTCTTGATCAACCAACATCAATTTTAGAGGGATATCAATCAGAAAAAAATGAAATCAGACAGAATAAAGAGTTTCCTTCTTCACAATACTGCAAAAAATGAAATATTATCTTTGCACAGGATTCTTTTCTTTTAGTTGAATATTTAGATTAGGAATATGTATTAATTAAGTTACCTAAAATAGATTATACAAAATAATATATACCTAAAATAGATTGTACATACTATTATTTATTGGAATGAAAGCAAAGGAAAAGGCATTTAGCCTATTTGCTCAAAATATTGACATTCGACCACCGCCGCCAGCTACCTTTGCCGTCATCGGCCGCCGCCCGCTCCTTAAGGCAAAACACTGCAGAACCACGAAGAAACATTTAAAGTCGTGCATCATCCCGAATGTCTTGTCACCCCCCGTAAACGGTGCATTGAAGCACCTGCAGTTACTCTGCACTGTGCTGCTCCCTTCCATGGGGCAATGAGCTCTTCGGCGTGCTGCTCCATTCCATGGGGCAATGAGCTCTTCGGCGCACTAACATTGTTACTCGAAAAATTATGTAACTCGTGAGAAAAGGGATTGTACCTGCAGCCACCAACTCATTATAAAATATTTCAACTAGGCAAGGCTCTATTGTTTTTTTCTTTCTAATTTTCTCATGTAAAAACTTCTGGTGTTCCTACTGATTATCTTTTTCATTACTAATTATCATTTTTCATCTTGAGTGTGTGTTGAATTCTCGTACAACGCTAATATGATAATTTTTTAGCACACACTCAGCTTTAGAATAAAATTTCCTAGCACGCCTCAAATACCTCTACTGCGGTGAATTTTCTTGTGCGCATCAAGTACTCAGACTAAAATTTTTACCTGGATATATGCGATCAAAAAAATTGTCTCGCAAGATTTAGAATAAAATTTAGCTAAATTTTGGCAAACTCCTCGCAAACAAAAAGTTCGTAAGGGACCGTTTTGGGATCATTTTTATTTCTTTTAGTTTATGTTTTGATTTGAATTAAAATATACTTGATTGC